TCACTGAAGCAATGAGCATGAAACTGAGCAAACTCAAGGAGGCAGTGAAGGACAGGAAGGCCTGGCGCGATACGGTTCTTGGGGTCATGAAGAGTCGGACACGACTTAACAACTGAACAACAACAATGTACTCAGTAATAAATGAGGACTGGTGTATACTTTTCTAGTTACCAAGATTTTGTAACCTAACCCTTTTTCTTGGTGTTAAACCTGATTAATGAGAATCTCTGTGAATTTTTCTTCTTTGGTCATATGCTGCTGTTGGTGCTTGAACTACCAAACTTCTGGGTCCATATGGCCCTCAGGGCCTTGAGTGAGGTCCCTTTCCTTCTCTAAAGTCCACCCACTTCATGCATTATTTTATGCTTTGTCTTTCTGCATGGAGACATGGATATCAGGGCTGAAGCTTCCATCCATTAAGCCCTGTGCCTAATGTCTCCTACCCTGCAATTTAGCCCCTGGACAAGTCCAGTTCCTCACCTTTTCTTGCCTGTTTTCAACAGGAAAGACCTCCCACTTGGCATTATTCTTTGCAAAGACTCTGTTTGGCAACCAAGAGAAAATGCTATTCTGAATGAAACCTGCCTTGGAACCACTGCTGAAGAACTATTTCTTTTACTGAACAGTTATGAACAACTTTGGTATTTGGCATGGAAACAGAACATGAAATAACAATTTTTTACATGTCCCAGTATGATTGGGTCATTCGTGGTATTTGCAGGACAAAAAGAATGGGTTGGGGCATGCCAGATGACTAAACTTTAAATTAAGTATTTCTTTTAGAGAAACTATGTGCTCATGATACAGTGTTCTAAAAAATAAAATAGCAAAAACCCCAGGTAAAAATCTAATTCCACTGGTCTTTCACGGAATTGTCTTGAGACAGGTAACAGATGTATTAACATTTTTGCATTTGCTTTTGCGAAATTTTCTCAAAAATATGGAATTTTCCCCATTTAATGCATCATACATAAAGACCCACAACCCTGGATAGGTAAGTAGGTAGGTACGTAGATAGATTTACCTTAGTCTCTTCCAAAAGGCGTTTATTTTCTCCATTTAAATTTTCAGCTAGCTTGGTTTGTTCCTTTGCCTCTCTCAAAGATTCATGAAGATCATTGAGCTTGGATTCATATTCATTTAGTGAATCTCTCACATTTTTAATGAGGCCTTGGTTTTGTGCTTTGCGCTTTTGTAGTTCGTTCCTTATTCGTTCTAGCACTATGCAGAATGAATAAAGCAAAACAGGAGTAAATCAAATACTGTATGAACATTAGATCCTTCAAGTCCTTTTGGCTTACGGTCCTTCTGTAAATCAATTTCTCATCAAGAAATTAATTTTAGTTGGGTAGATCATATGGTCTATTAAGTATAAAGATAGATATGAATTATGCATCAATTCTGCTTTGTAATATTTTATTGAGATTTTAAAAATACATATTTAAAAGTTAGAATATAATGGGGATAATGGACTTTCAAATAGGAAAACATTTTATTAGAATTACTCAGTACATGATTACCGCAACAAGACTTCTTTATGCACAATTTTGGAAAACCCAGACACTATCAACAATACAAGAATGGTTGTTAAAACTGATGGATATGGCAGAAAATGACAAACTGACTTGCTTATTAAAAGAAAACTCAAATGAGTTTTCTTTTAATAAGCAAGTCAGTTTGTCATTTTCTGCCATATCCTGAGTTTTCTTTTAATAAGCAAGTCAGTTTGTCATTTTCTGCCATATCCTGAGTTTTCTTTTAATAAGCAAGTCAGTTTGTCATTTTCTGCCATATCCAACCATTGATGGACTATTTGCAAAATGCAGGTGGGGTGAAGCTTACGTGGGGATTTGAAGATTAGATTATAAATGTAATGGGATATATTTAGACAAAGAATTATTCCTATTTAATGTATTAAAAATTAGCACTTATGATAGCTTTATTATTTCTAAGACCAGAGTTGGATCGGAAGTTATCTATTTTTCATATCTTTTCTTCTTTTACTTTACTTTACTTCACTTCTTTTCCTTTTCTTTATATTTTGTATTTCAAATTTTCTTTTGCATCAATTCTGTACATCCTTTTTGATCTTTATGTTTCCAAACCTTCTATATAGATTGTATGACTGCAAAAGCTCAACACAAGTCCTGAACTAGTTTCAAGCAGCAACAAAATTCAACATTTTTAAAGTGGCTATTGTCAGTTTTCTTCACTGTTAAACCACAACTACCTTCACACCCATTACAAATTCATTGGGCATTTCCAGATAAGGCAACAGACTTTCCCCATCTATTCCCACCTTAATAAATCCAATCAAGCCATTTCTACCCCAAAACATTTACAGTTTTTAGCCCTTACAATGTTGGGCTTTTCCTTTTTCCTTTTCTGCTTCTGTTAGCTGTTGGCCAAAATTGCGGTTTCTCATCTCATTTATCATTTGCTGAGCTTGCATCAGCTCTTTTGCAGAATGTTCTGTAGGCAAAGAAGTTCCTTCTACCATGCCATCTATCTGTTGCAAGAGAACTAGGACAAGAAAAACATAATGTGAATAAATAAGAGACTTTTACCACACCATGCCACAGAGATACTGTATGTGGTATATTTTTAAACCAGGAGTGCAAATATGAACCCTCCAGTGCAGCCCCAGCTCTCTCCATAAGTCACATCAATTTGTAGCTCTCGATGTGATAGAAGTAGGAAATTGTTAAATATATGAGAAGTAACTCTATTAACTATAGAGTTTTGGTTTTGTCCTTGCTCCAACCACTTCTTGGACTGGAGCCCTAGCAAACCAATCAAAGATCGATTAAAATGCAAAGCCTGTAAATAGTTGCACACCTTTCTTTTGGGAAAGGTAGAACTTTCCATTCAACACACTATAAATAAATCATTAATGACATCCTAATTTATCTCAGCTGATACAAACTGCCAGTGTGCACCTAAGGTTGATCAGAACATTGCAGTCTAATCCATTCCTTCTCAGAAGTAAAGTTAATTTAGTTCAATGAGACATACTCCTGAATATGTGTCCCTAGAATAATATTTCTTCCTTGATAGATGTCCTAGGCTGATAGTTAATCTCTCTCTCTCTCTCTCTCTCCTTTTTTTGCTGCTATGGGCAAGGTGTGACTTTTCTGCACCTTGCCCATAGCAGGGAAAAAGCATTTGGATACTATGGCAGTCATGAAGGTGATAAATCCATCCTTGAGGGACGGGAATTGCCTCATGTCTTAAAATAGTTGATAGGACTATTTTAGACAACTATCACCTGTTCTCCAATTTCCACTTTCTAGGGATGATGGTAGGGAAAGTGATAGGCTTGCAACTACCTAGAGAACCCCGGACAAAACGGATTATCTAGATCAGTGTTTCTCAACCTTAGCAACTTTAAGATGAATGGACTTCAACTCCCAGAATTTCCATCCAATACCCAAATCTGAATTCCAACTGATATGGTGGAGATCACTGTTTCTCAACCTTTGGCAACCTTTTCGTTGTTGGTAGAGATACTCACCCCCAGCTGGGGG